GCCTCCCTGGCCTCCACGTCAGAATTGATTAACGGTAATTACATTGAACCTTATGGGGAAATTTGCTTCGGGTTGTGACCAATTTGGGTTGCAGCCAGAGTCACGGAACGAATTAAGTTCGTAAACCGAGGTTCCACTGTACACATATAGACTAATATAATTATTACAAATACAGCTTTTCATTTATCATTTTAAAAGCTCGTATCTCTTCCTCTAAAGCACGTGCTTTTCTTAGTATGTAGACATCCAACATGCAGTTCCAAAATGCATTAGTATGAGGAAGGCTTATCCTTTCCCATCTCTCTTTCCAACCAAAATCAAGATAGATTTTTTTCTCTGATTTGACTCTAGTGGCTATAATTAATGTCCATCATGTCCTCCAACCTAAAGAAAAAGAGAGGTAGGACTCTTATAAGAGTCTTACCTTATCAGAATCAAATTCTGATCATATTGTATCTTTTTAATCCATAATCCAAATAGAATCAGTATTCAAAAAGTCTCAATCTGATTTAAATTCATGTTTGGGAACTTCGGCTCATGGTCCAAATTGTTTGGAAACAGGAATTTAACATATTTGCACAATAATATCCAGTTACAAAATGTTTAATGTTACGAATTTCTCCTATGTATAAATCTCAACATTGCAAATACCATGGCTTTTACCCTATTGCATTGATATCTAGTCTCTGATATTAGAAACTATATATCCTATTTTTTGTTTCTTCAGGGAAAAAAAAGCCAGGTAGCACTGTTGCAGAAAACTGGGCAAATGGTTGAAGCAATTTATATTCTATTTAGACAAGCAGCTTTATAATTCAGTATAAATACAAAATGAAACATACAATAATAGTTCTTCCTCTTCATCACCATAAGATCTGAGATCCACATTGTCAAATTTAGGTAAATCAGACATTAACCTAGAATATGAAATAAAGAAAAGGAATGAAAAGAACCCATCTATATTTTTATAGCATAAACATTTATCTGACTTTGAGAAGTAATCACATGATTACATATTAAAAACATTAATTTATAGAAATACTACAAATATATTGCAAAATATATACTATACCTCATCCTCAGTGTCATTGATTATAAATATTTTTCTGAAGAAAACAACACTTTTGGCCTTTGGGCATTTTGAGATACATGACAGACCCAGTCATTAAAAGTCTATAGTGACAGACCTGCTTCTTTATCAAATGGCTGGCATGGTGGGCATGGCCAGTCACCAAATACCAATTCACCAGTCTTTTTAAATACACTTCACATTTTGGGGGACTTCTATGAGGCAGATGTTTTTGCAGATACATATTACACTAGAGGCTGGTGCTTGGCTTTGACGAATGCCAGTTTCTTATTAAATGAAGAAAAAAAAAGGCAGGCAAGGAATGCAATGGGCTCGTTAATTATCTGAGTCACCCTGGTGCCTACAAGATCCATATTATATATATCTAGAAGAGAACCACACAGTAGTTCATAACTAGAAGACTTTTTGTCTTTTCCTCTCTTCTTCAGCAGATTCTTGTACAGGCCATATCCATGGAAGAATTTATCAGAGGGGGCTCATAAGAGCAACAGTGGTAATTATCTCTCTATAAGGACACAGTACTACCCCAGCTCATGAAAATCCTGAACTATATGGGCCTGAGGTTACAATCACTAGTTGTGTTATCTTTGACTGAAAACAAGGACGAGCTTGATCAAGAAATTATTAGTATGAAGAAAATGTGTCACATTTGGGTACTGTGGTAAACAGCAGTACTTATATATTCTCTGGCTTTTTTTAAGTATTTCTTCTACTGATAAAATGAAAAATGGTACAAGAACATATCCCAGTGTGCTCTAAGGAAAGGGGAAATAACTTACTTATGTAACATGTGGTATACTGTAATTTGAACAGGTCTAGCTCTGAAGAGTAGTAATGGAGAAAAAGTATTTAACAAAGTCTGTAGATTATCTGGGAGATTTGTCTTCTGACCAGCAACAAATTTGGCAGGAAGCCTATGGTTCAATAACTGATCCTTTGATATGTATGTTAAAGCTTTACCCAAGGATTTCAACATGGAGTTCTGAAATGATGTTTCCAGTACATCTTGTTCTTTTCCTGTTTAGAAGACGGTACAAGACAAATCACAGCATGAATTTATTCTAACAAATATTCAGTAGCAATTATAAACAATTATTTTCATCTAAAATGCCATAAATAATATTCAGTTGTACTGTCAAAATGCTAGGTTTACATGTTTTCACCAGTGAAATAAAAAAACTGAAATAAATTCAAAGCAATTCAAAAAGAACATGGTAGAATGGAAACTATGAAGAGAAAGGAATATCTTGCAATTATGTGCAGATTTTTTTCCCCAGATATCGTCCTGGAAACCTCAATATACAGCTACATGTTGTATACTTCCAGTTTTACAGTTTTACAAATCTTTATTAACAAAAACCTAGACTGTTAAATAGCCTGTCAAAGTATTTCTATGTTCTTCTACATTACCCGTTTGTATATTTACCCTTTGCCACAGACTTACTGGTGATTTCTGCCAACAGAGGCAGAAGCAAGCTATGAATGCCTTCCGAAAAGAAGTCCTGCCATTCAGCCATGAGATTTTCTGGAAGTTTTTCAATGATTTCAGGAGTTGCTGCCTGGAAGTATGCACTCAGAGAAGCGCTCAGGTCACAGCTGACAGAAGCAAAGACTTGCACTTGTGCAACAGGAAAGACTTCTGGGTTTTCACAGGTTGTCTGCAAACAAAACAAAACATCGAGGGCAGAATGTCATTCTTTTTGATAGCAAGTTTTAAAACATGAAACACCAAATAATACGACTTATATAGCTCTTCAGCTATACATTAAAACTTTTTTTCTAAGAGTTAACCACATACAACAAATCAAAACAATTTTTGATTTTATGCTTTTACCCTTTTCATTTTTAATAATTACTGTTCCATAGTTTAATCCATACTACTTTGTACTAGATGGGGCTAACAAACCTTAATTAAGGACATGAATATACTGATACAATAGAGCATTGGGTCTGTTTGCAGAGTATGCTATGGAACAGAAGCATTAGTAAGCAAGACTCATCTGAGTTCAGATTATTTTGAATGCTGGGATAATTTTGTTCTATAAAAGTCTGAAACATTTTATTACCAGAATCATGGAATATTAATCAATAGCCTTACTGAGGTTTACATAAGCTCTTTCATCATATTTTAGATTTGCAAAAGATGAGAATGTTTTATACACAAGAATGTGAAATTCTCTTTATGCAGAAATCATATCGTTCTCAATTTGTTACTTACTTCCAACCATGCTAGCATGGAGCACATGACAAAATCCCATTCACTCTCCAATAATGAGACAGGCTTATTCAGCAACAGAGAAATGAAACGGATCATTTCTATATTCAAACCAAGCAGCTGTGGATTTGCTTCTTGTAGATTGCTTGGGCAAAAATTAAGAAAAACGTTTAGAAGCTAAACTAAAATGAAAGCAAGGCAAACGTTTGCATTACAATCAAACCAGGACCCAAACTTTTCTTCTGTAAGATTTCATTTACTGGGGCAAACATTCAGGTTAGAAAGTTCAAAGCAAACAACAATGCAAACAACAACACGGTATTTCCAATAGAAGAGAATATCTGCAGCTCAGCGCTGCACTGTGGAATTCTTGGTGCTCTCTGAGCTCGGTTGTTTGCTTGCAGATGTTTTATTACCCAACATCTGATGACGTTACCTAGTTGGGTAATGAAATGTGCAAGCAAACAACCAAGCTCAGAGAGCACCAAGAACTCCACAAAACAGTATTTGATTTATGGACAGCTTAGCTTGTCTTATGACATATATTAAGCTATTCTTTTTTTGTGAAAATCAACATTATCAAAGCACACAAGTATATACTGAAAGTTAAGTTCTTTTATATCATGATGGCAGCTTTGAATAATACATTAAAATATTTAATTAAATAATTGATTTTAAAAGTAATATTTTTTTAATATAGTGCTCATTATGAAGTGTGAACAGTACGCTTATATTAAGAAGCACATTCCTGTACACATAGGATGCCTCTTCTAATAGAAAACTTATGCATTCAAATGCTGGAACATCTATAGAGAACCAATCTGGCAAAGCCCACAAGCTTACAATTATTGGACTAAAATTCATAGACTTAAATAAATCAAATTGGACTATTATTATACTGTCCACACCTATTTCAGTTATTCTACACAATTATTTTTAAAAAATAATATAGTTAAACAATGCACCAGCTGAAAAGAAAGCTATCTTCATAATCACTGCGCCAAGATACGATAATCTTCAATATTCCAGCCATTAGTTCTCCATAATCAGTATCTTGAGTATTCAAGCAGGAATTTAAAATGCCAAGATATCCAAACGCTCCTAAATAGTGTGAAATACCATTTTAATAAAAGATATTAAATGTCCTTGAGCATAATATGAAAACAAAAAGAATTTAAAGCACTTAGTGATAAGCAGTTCTTATACTGACAATATTGAATACTGACAATTCAATACAAGTCACGTAACAAGAAATGTATGACCCATCAAATATTTTTGCAATTATCAATGGCAAATAAATATGTGATTAATTGTGTGCACTGAACATCCTACCTCTTCCAACTCAATGTAGGATTGGAGAAATTATTTAAGACACTGACCCTCAGTACTGAAGAGCTCAGTTCCATTACATGTCATTAGTTTAGCTGTAAACCTAATGACAAGTTCTTCCTTATCTTCCTCAGGTAAAACTGGAGACAGACTCTGAAGTGTATGCAAGTTTCCTTCAGTTAATGGGAAAAAACTGTTCATGGAAAAAAAGAAAACCAGGGAATCAATATAAAATTGTTTTTATATTGATAAAAAAAATTACAAAAATCAGGATGACACAAAACATAGAAAGAGATTGTTACATGCAGAATTTTATGCATAACAGAACATATCTAACCCCAAGAAAGCAGGACATTTTGAATAGCTGTAGCATTTATTTGAAACAATCATGGATCTAGGGCTGGCAGATTTTAAGTAATATAGGATAAAAACATTAGAGAATTGAAGAGATAGATAGATAGATAGATAGATAGATAGATAGATAGATAGATAGATAGATAGATAGATATAAGATTCAGATGCAAGACACAACTATCACTAGCCTATATAGATATGACAGTTATAGCCCTACAAACAAGAAGAAGATTTATTCTGGCTTCAATTTATGCAGGACATAAATTGTAGTACATAATTGTAGTAGTAGTAGTAGAAATCATAGTTCTCAAGCAACCCCAGTTTACTATCTATCATACCTCTCAGATGAATTAAAAAGTGCTTTAATCTCATAGGGTGCAAAGTTTTTTGTATCAATCAATTTAGCCATTGTTAAAGCCCAAAGTCGTCCACTCTCTTTTGATCTATGAGAAATAGAAAGTTTCTGAGATTAATGTGGCTCACATATAAATAAAATAATTTGTATTTATTTTAGGTGAGAATAGTTTATATGAAGGTAGTATGTACATTTAGAATGAAAAATCAGGATGTTTTCTAATAAAAGGCATATAAAAATACATATTTTTCCTTCAATACTTACCTATTGAACAATATTTGTAAAAGACAGGAAATATTATTGAGTACATAGAAATGTTCATGTGAAATATTCATTACTTCTGTATTATGAAGAAATTCAAGAAGCAAACCAGATGGGTTTGCTAATTCTTCAATCCACTGTAAGGCATACAACTGTTCTACAACTAGAAAAACCCAAAAATATATCTTATTACTATAATTTAACAATTACTTGTTAAATGCATACAATTATTTAACTCTTTATGATTTTATTAAATATCCAAACACTATATTTAGTGTTTATATTTATATAGTATTATTTATATTTGGTATATAAATTTACTAAATAAATAAAAATAAACATTTATGCATTATAACCCATTAAGAAAACTGACAAGATGGCTTCTTTTAATTATTTATGAAACATTTTATTCTGTTCTTGCAGAGATCTATAATAATTTTATCAATAAAGAATTGAAACTGAGCGGCAACATAAGGGCGAACAGAGGTATGTCAACAAATCTGGAATGATTCACGGTATAGAGCAGCCTTTCTCAACCTTTTTAC